ATATATATATATATAATATGCCAATCTTGGTAGTACTACGTAGGCCGGATGTTTTTGTTTCTACTTACTGAACGTAATACTACTTACGGAAACACGAGTCCTGATCTCGTGAAGATGCTGAAAATGTAATCATGTACTTAGCGGCACATATTTTCTTAACACAGTCGCTTTCCTTGCACTTGTTAGATTTCTTTTTAGACTCAGGCCTAGTTTTTGAGCTTGTTGCCATGGGGCTTTTATTAGTGATAGTAACAGGAAAGGTGTCCGAAGTAGATGAACGTGTGATGTGAAGTCTTTGTTAATTGATATCGGTATTATGAACCGAATAATTAATTAGTCTAGAATGCTCGCTGTTCACTAAGTTTATTCTTGTCTATATATTTTGTTTGTTAAATAATAGTAGCGCTACAGAAAAGTTTAGTTTCTGCGGTGTATGTTCCTCGTATGCTCGTATGCTCAGAATTTCCTAATTCAAGTGACCAGGCAGCACCTCAAAATTTCCCATTCCCCGCATGAGGGCATTTTATATTTTGACGCTTGACAGATTTATTTGGTTTATACATGCCTATATTTGTATGATGATTTCAAATAACTACTTCGCTTGAAATTGATGATAATGAAATATTATTTAAGTATGATAAAAGAAGTACTCTGTAGATACATTTCACTTTATGTTGCTAAAAATTTCAAATATAATAATAATAATATGAATATAAATATAACGTTATTACAAAGATGAGGGCATTCTTCTGAAATAGCTCTTCTCATTTCTGCGCCACCACCGATGATAATTGTAACTTGTGTTGTTGAGTCATGAAAAGATTTGGCCCGAAAATACTATGAGGCGCTGACGTGTTGATATAGTGTTGAATAAGGTTCGAGGTTCTACATTTAGAATTTTTTACTAATAGATGCCGTTGGGTTATTACATAGCCAACGGGCAATGCTAGGTCCAATCTGAGAACAATATATACATTGTATAGAGACACGCGCACGCACGCGNTTTATATATATAGTTAGATTAGCTTCGAGCATGTAATTTCCATGTACAAACGCTCTCCGGTTGCCGCAAATTTGGCATCATTTGGGCGCATCACTGCACCCACCTATATGGGGGTTCGAACAATGTGTTGGTTGGTAATTGACATTTCTACATCGCAGAAACCAGAAGCCTACGCTCCGTTACCTTGCCAACTGCATTATTATGATTTATATATGTTCATGATAGTAGGAGTAGTGTCATAATAAAGATATATATATATATATATATATATATATATATATATAANCGATGTAAGTGTAATTGATGTTGAGTCCATGAAAAATTTGTGCCCGAAAATACCTATGAGGCGCTGAGGCGTCTTGATATGTTGAATAACGTCGAGGTTCTACATTTACGATTTTTACTAACTAGATGCCCTGTTGGGTTATTACATGCCAACGGGCAATCGCTAGGTCCAATCTGGACAATATTACATTGTATGAGACACCGCGCACCGCTCGCACAGCACGCACGCACTGCACACACACACACCACACCACACACACACACACACAACACACACACACACACACATCACACACACTCACACACACACACACACACGCACACACGCCAACACGCACACACAGAGATACGCACAACACACACACACACCACACCACACACACAACACACACACACACAACACACAGGCACACACACACACACACACACACACACACACACACACACACACACACACACACACACACACACACACACATATATATATATATATATATATATTGTTCTCAGGGTCCACCGAACTGTATAGAATAACACGAGTTGTTATTATAATTATATACAGCCAGTGCGCTCGCGTCTTGTGTTGCTGTGGAAAATAATGTCTTGCAGTAGATACAGAATAAAAATATGATCAAATCGTTTTCTTTGGTTATAATTTATATGTGATTAACTATGATAATATGCATAAATTATTGTCATGTAAAATACATGTATATTCATGTGAGTTTTGTGATCGATTCTCATCCAATCAGCCGCCTTGCGACAGCAAATGATCAACGTTCCTGTCAATGCCGTACGCAGGAAATTTTCTGTAGGGGGGCAAAGGTACTCCCCATGCCCCCTGTGCCCTAAAGTTTCGCAATTTCACATTTCTTTATTTAAAGTAATATTTCTTTGATGATTTAAGATAACCTTTTGTCACATTTCTATTTTATTTCTAAAAGTGTACAGTATTTGTCCCATTAAAAAGCATACTCTGAACATCTCTAGGGGGGCAACTGCCCCTGCTGTCCCCCTGCTGCGTACGGCCCTGTTATCGATCGTAGCTTGGTCATAACCTTATAAAGATTCCAAGTCTTCAATGTCCAAGGGACTATATCAAAGACGGAGAGAGACAACGTTGATCAAATAGGCAGATCAATACTGCAATAGAAAAAGCTTCAATTTTGAAATTAACCAAAGAGGCAGGAAGAGAATTCCAAAATGGGATGACAGAAACGAATTGAGAAGCTGGCATCATTTGAACTTGGCACATGACGTAAGTAAAGAACACACTCGGATGATCGGCTGCTATGCACTGGTTTCATTAAGCAAGAGGGAATGTCTATCTTCACCAGTTCACTGTAAATTTTATTAAGGGTTGTTATTTGCATGGTAGAAGCGGACACGAAGAGAAGGCCAATCAAGTTGAGGCAAAACAACTTCAGAACTAATGTGATCGTTTTTGGATACCCATCTCACAGCTTTGCCATGTAGCGTATAAGGTATGCACGCGCTCACGGCGCTGACGGTTCACAGTCAAAGACTGCTTTTCCTGCCGCGCAACAGACAAATTGGTGGCGAAATGGTAGTAGACACCTGACTGACGTAATCGAACTTTACTGTGAATTTTTAGAAAGTCTTTAGCTCGGCTCGTCGAATTTATTCGATTCGTAATGTTTTGGGGCGCCAGGTGGCAGAACAAAGCCGTTATGTCTTTATTTACGATCTGCATAGCAACAGAAGTGTTGGCTGCGTAAGTTTATGTGTTACCGTTAGCTTTATAATCTCGTTTAATAACTAAGATTACAAAACGCATTTTTGATCTTGATTTGCTCGTACAGTAGTATTATATCAGCATTGGTAATATCTCTAAATAGCATAACATAACACGTTGTACTTGTACTTGTTGTAGAGCAGAAACTTTCTGATAAACATTTGTCCAGAAGAGATACCGTTGGTGAGGATGTAACTTATTACGACGGATTGCGATTGGACTAGAAGGGAAAAGAAACTCCAGTCTTGGTTCAGACAGGACGATAATATTGCTGAAGATGTTGCGAGCAGTGAGTAGGCGGTCGGAATTTGCCGAGGAGCCAGAGGGAGATGAAGGTCTTGAACTGGAATTGGCCCGTCTCCAGCGGCAGTACCGCATTATGGAGGGAGATCGCAAAGCATATTGCGAGGAATCACAAAATATCGTTCGCAAACAAAGGTGACAAAATAACGCATTACGTATATTATAATTACCAAACTATTATTGGAACTAGTAGCATTTTCTATCTACTCAGACTACTGGCCAATCGGTGTGAAATTCATGGTCATGTGATTAGTCAAAAAGGTCATGGCTTCAGTGAATAGATTTGAATTAGAGAAGGTCTAGGAATAATAAAAGAAAATGTGATGAGAAAAAGAGATAAAGAAGAAGAGGTGGCTGCCAGATAAGGAGGGGTTGGAAGGTACGAAGTGTTCACGCGATATGGAAGAGAAAGGGTACCGTAGGCGTAGCCAATGGCAATAGAGGAGGAAGAGGTGATAACGTATCACCAGACACATTGGTGCCTGTTATGATGCTCATACATATTCACCTGGTCACTATGCAATTAACCGACAAAATCCTTCGACAAAAAGCTCCTATCAATCGCCGTACTGCCCCTGAAAATCCAACCCAACCGACGGCAGTCACCTGCCTTGTCCTTTTGTGTAATTGCCGTCGGTGCCCTTTAATCTACTGCCCTAGTTTCGTTTTTAGTCGAGTCAACATAACACGTGCGCGTGCGTGCTGTAGTTGCAATGATGAGCTTGAAACCGATAGTCGCAGGAGGGAATAATAACAGCATCGGATAATTATTCGCTCCTGATAGCGGGCATGTAAAATTTCTTGTTACTGTACTTCCATTAGCAGAGGGAGGTACAGGGGTCGGTGTTACGGTGTAAGCTTACATGGGGGCATATTGTTTTGTATATTAAAAGCAAGACGATGTTGACTAATTTGTTATGAGTTTTCCTTTATTTCACAAAAGTGCCTTGGTGCCCTTCTCAAATTTTGAGAGTTGCCTTTTAAAATTGCCTCTGTGCCCTACCATTTTAGAGAAAATTCAATGCGATTTCTCACATGCCCTAAAAGAATTGCCTTGCCCTTCTCGTCGCTTAATTCGAGCCTTGTCACCATGTACCTTCTTCGTCTGTTCTATCTTTCCATGTGTTGCTCAGACGATCGGTAATTTTTCTCCAATCCCTCTTCAATCTGCAGCTAATTCCTTGTTTTCTCTGCCACAGATAAAATTGTGTATCACCATTATTTGCATCAGGTTTGCGATAGAGCAGCTGGAGAAGGAGAAGGAGGAGTATGAAACGAACCTGCGGCTTGCAGAGAGTGAGCAGAACGAGGCTCAGGACCATCGGAACACGCAGCGCCTCGGCTCACTCCTGAAGGATCACGATGGCTACAGGGAAGCCATCAATGCGGAGAAGCAGGTCATTACTGAGCATGACCAACAGGTGCTGATTCTCTAATGTCACATACATGATAAATAATACATTAAAATATAAATATAGTTAGTTGTGCATCGTAGGTGCCTAGATAGCATATAAGGCAGTAAATATAAATTATTGGTTAAATATTATAAATTAAAATATAAATATAATTATAATTATATTATATTATAATATATTTAATATATTATTATATTTAATTATTATAATATATATATATGTAATATATAATTAATTACATTATAATTAGAATTATTAAATTAATACATTATTTTGTGATTTGTTAGAGAAATCTTATTATAGATAACACTGTGTGGTATTGTTATGTCGCAGTTTATTATTTATTTGCTCCCTCCCTGTTTGTATAATAAAGTTCTTCTTTCACACTGTGTGAGTTGAGGAACTAAGGAAAGTAAACACAGATCTTTCAGTAAACATTTCAGCAGACCTGAGTAAATACGTCGTGTATTGGACCAACAATGATTAAACCAGTGATTCCTATCATTACAGGTTAACCATACTGTCTCGCGTTTCTACGTACTCGCTGTTTTGATGTTCCAGTGTCGTGTCATGGAGCGCAAGATTGCCGAGCAGCTCAAGGCCATGGGAGGCGTGGACAGTCATCAGGGAAAACACATGGTCACGCAGAAGCGTGTCAGGGTTCTCGAAAACAGGCTGGACACCGTTAGTACAACTTAAATCACCATCAACAGCATCATCTGTTGTGATGTTCTACATCATTGTCGTGCAGTCAAACCACAAACAAGCGGAATGGGTTTTATCGATTAACAGTTAACTGACCCGCAGTAAACAAATCAGGGTTTAAGCAACCGCGTACATTAAATCTCTATGCATTCAGGCGACGCTGAATTTTAACAAGATGTTGACGCAAAATGCGGAGCTGCGTGCAAAGATCGACCACCTGCTGAGTGAACGCTCCCATTTTGATGGCATGTACAAACGCCTGACCAGGTCGCTCGCAGATGGGAAGAAACGACTCTGTGAGATTGTCGAGCAAGCAACGCAGGCCTATGACCAGAGGTATTCCGCTCACTGCACCTACTCCCCCGCAATCTCTTCGTTCGCGTACGGTGTGCAATGATGCTGTTTTACGCGACATTGCCCAGCTTCCGCTCATCGGCTGGAATGTAAAGTCCATCACAACAGCTATAAGTTAGCATCGGGGTGGTTGTCGCCAGGAATTACGACTACGATTAGGGGGTTTTGTTCGATTTCACTCGCGCCCATCATGAAGTTCACACTCTGCCCAGTTCATAAAGGTCCCCTTACATCCTCCCCTGACATCCTCTCTGAATGATGTTGTTCTCTGCTTCAGGGATGAAGGCCAGAGCAAGATGACCGCGCTGAAGGAACGGTCGGAGAAGGACCAGACGGCGTACAACGTCGAGATGAAAGAGCTCAACCGCATCCTCGATCACGACCAAAAGCTGAAGGAGTTCATGACCATCAAGGCCCAGGAGAGAGCCGACCTGCTGAGGGAGGCTGAGGAGAGCGAGAGGAAGCAGAAAGGTAACGAACCGCGATGCGACACGACGAGTGGGGTCGCTGCAGGTGATGCTGACAATTTAAATTAATTTGATTATTAACGAGGAAAAATTTTTCCAAAGCCACCTCGGATACGTACACACACACACACACATACATACATAGACGGTGGAGCCACCTACAGTCTTTGTTCTAACCAACAATGTATCCAAAGCCACATCGACTACATACATATACTTACATAGATGGTGGAGCCACCTACAGTCTTGTTCTAACCCACAATATAGCCAAAGCCACCTCAAACACACACATATACTTACATAGACGGTGGCGCCACCTACAGTCTTTGTTCTAACCCACAACGTGTCCAACACAGTCATGACCAGTTGTTCTAGCCAACAATGTAGCCAAAGCACCCTCAAACACACACTTAATAAATAACACGAATATACTTACATAGATGGTGGTGCCACCTACGGCGCGGTTGTCGTGTCGCAGGGTTCGACGACGAGAAGGCGCAAGACAAGTGGCAGGAGGAGACGATCCAGACGTACGAGCAAGCGTTCGCTCGCATCCGCGAAGTCACCGGCGAGGACGACATCGACACGCTGGTGCGACGATTCATCGAGACCGAGGATCAGAACTTTGCGCTGTTCAACTACGTGAACGAACTGAACAACGAGGTGGAACTGCTGCAGGAGCAGATACACGGTGAGCGGCGCGGCGCGGCGTGGAACGGTGCGGCACGACACGGCGCGGTAGATTCGAGTACAATCTGGTAGGGTATCGTATAGTACGCTATGGTACAGAATGGTATGGTATGATACGGCATGGTGTGGAAGAGTGTGCTATGATACGATACCGAATGACACGGTACAGTACGATGTGGTACGGTATGGTATGGAAGAGTGTGCTATGATACGATACCGAATGACACGGTACAGTGCGATGTGGTACGGTATGGTGTGGAAGAGTGTGCTATGATACGATAGCGAATGATACGGTACAGTACGATGTGGTACGGCATGGTGTGGAAGAGTGTGCTATGATACGATACCGAATGACACGGTACAGTACGATGTGGTACGATATGGTATGGAAGAGTGTGCTATGATACGATACCGAATGACACGGTACAGTACGATGTGGTACGGTATGGTATGAGATTGTACAGGTTAAGAGGTTGTGGAATTC